TAGTACAATTAAACGAATTAGATTTTAGTACTGTGTATTTAAATGATGTCCTATTGACTTTGGGCTCTATGGGGTCTTTATCAGGGCTTGAAGCGACTTATCGTGACCTAATTTCACTGTTTATCAGTATTTTTGCTTAAATCGTTTTTTAAGAAGATGTTTACCGTTAACATGCGAATGATTCCTCTGTTACTGTTGATCGTTGTGTATATTTTGTTACTGATAATCATGTTATTTGACTGCACGGATGCGGCGTGGCGACCACTTAAACCACTAGTTTAAGCGGTCGCCACGCCGCATCCTACTGCCGTGGGGTCAAATCCCACATGGGACGACACTTTGTGTGATCTACAAATTGTTGGTCTGAGTCTGGGTGTTCTTTGTGTCCGTTTCATGTATGTTTGTAAAGTCCCCCACGACACAGGATATATTCCTAATGCGAGAATTATCTTCAAAGAAAGAAAAAAGAATAACTGTGAATACATGTATAATACTATTTTAATTCGATAGTAAAGAAGTTTCGCTGGTGTGCTGCAACAATGGGTATGCAAGTGCTATTGGAATATTTATTGGCTCATTTGTAAACGAATGAGCGACAAGTTGATTATTGGGGCAACTTTTGCATAATTATTATTATGAGGACTTCACGCTTTTGTATTTTAATATCTTCCGTGGGCATTTTAAATTAATATAAGCTTGTTCATACGTGAGAAACTTCTGTCTTTTTTTAGACTTACGAAAGTTAATTTATGAAATAAACGATCACGATTTTGAAATACAACTTCTGCAGTAGGCATATATCCTACGGGGAGTTTACAAACGTACATGTAACGAACACAAAGAACACCGAGACTCAGAACAACAATTCCTGGATCACACAAAGTATCGTCCTGTGTGGGGATCGAATCCACAACACTCAGCGTAGTAGTAAGCGGCGTGGCGACCGTTTAAACCACTACGCCATCCGAGCAGTCAATCAACTCTGGGCCCACCTTACTTTGATTGCGAAGAGATTTGTTACGATGCTATCAGTTATTGCATTAACAGGTAGCTTCAGCTCTAGATTGAGAACCTTTGAAAGCCTGGGCACGAAACTTTCACTGTGCTGCTAAGCAACTATCCTTAATGTAATCACCCAGAATAAGCAATTGTGTGCTGAACACGACCATTTTTTTCTCGGTCGGGATGTAATTTATCTATAATATGTATGTAATTAGGAATATATAAGCATGTCTATCAGCAAGCTGGTTACCATAGCACAGGCTTTGCCTAGTTCGGGATCGGGCTGCCGTGTGTGAGATGTGTGTAATTAGTATTATTTTATCATTGTGATGATATTCTCTTACTAATTAAAACTACGCATAACAACAGCACTGCAGAGAGAAAGAAAACTTGACACAAGCCCTATACCAACCCATCTGGCCAGCGTGGTATAGTAGGCCAAAACCTCCTTTCTAAGGAGAGGCCTCTGTCCAGCAGTGGACTATTAAAGGCTGTTGATGTGATGATGTGATATAAATTATTCTACTACATTTAATTCATTCATTTTATTAACAGAATATAAAATTACAATTTAATCTAATTTCATGGTAAAATTATCTTATTCAGGCTAGATCACCATTGCGAAGTATTTTCAAAATAATTCGTAAATCGTTTCGATTTCGCCGGCCATTTTCCGGCTTGTGAACTGGTTGCTCAAGCGTGGTCACTGAGGCACACCATCAAGGCACGAGCCTTTGGTTGCTGGATGTTTATCGTTTGGTTAATGGGCCGTTACCAAGATGTAGGTCACTACTAAATTATTGAATTAGAGGGTTTTGGAACTATTTGGATGTTTTGGCTACTTTGTTTTATTTGTGATTATTACTAGGTTGAGCATGTGCTATGGTAACCAGACTGCCAATAAACATGCTTTTCTCTTTTCTTAAACATACTTAAATATATCTAAATTCATATATATCATTTAACAAATAATCGTGCACAGCACACAGTTACTTGTCCTGGGTGGGAATCGAACCCACGATCTCCTACTTAGCTAACAGGGCCACGAGAACAATTGTATATGTAACGTCACGATATATGGATAGAAATAAAATAGGATAAATAGGAATTAAATGGTTAAATAGTGCCGTTACTTACATAAAAATGGGTTTAATAAGAAAGATAACAAAAACATGACTTATTATCATGAGGATAATATAATATAAATCTGACTCTTAGGAAAACCCTGCCGAAATACAGGTGACAATAACATTTATGATAAGGTAAATCTGACATATTTCTTTATTCAAATAAAGAATCTGAATCTGTTTTCCCATCCTTGTCTATGTCATCTATTTAAAAATAAAAAATCATGAAGGTTACATAAACGTGTAAAATTGGACCAGTATTGAGACAAGGTGACCGCCGGAGACATCCTGCGGTACTTCCACCCTTGCACAACCCATTGTGGCAGTTCCACTTGCGTACACAAATTACGTTGATGCAAGAGGAAATCAACGATTGTGTGGACTAGAGGGCACATGGGTTTATGGTAACAATTGAAGTAAACTAAACGAAATTAGATTAGGAATGTGTATAAATAAATATGAATTGCTCGTAAAGAGTAAGGATTGTAGGTAATCGTTGAAGAGTACATTACTAGAAAATACCTTTTCAAATATAACTAAATTTACCTCTAAAATATTTATAGTATTTAAGAAAAGTCTAGGATAAATAAGATGATTCATTTTTATAGAATAAAAAAGAATACACTTTTTTTTTTTAAATCGAACAGGACTTAATAAAATTCTATCTTGTCTATGCTAAACGACAGTAATAGTGTCGGGCGTATTCATTAGATGGATAAATGTCGACCTAGCTAATCGATTTAACATTTATAAGGTTCAATTATAGTCACGGGTGGACAGTTCAACGGTGACTATTGACATCGATTGATAACTAAACAAAAAGGTATCGTATCTCATAAATATTACCGCGATTTAATATAGATTTATACATCTGATTTAAGATTAAGAGTGAGAATATAAAAAAACAATAATTGTTTTAAACAGTTGTTGTGTTTACGTACCGTTTACCTAATTCATACCGAGCGGGGAGTGTGCGTAAATGCCAATTTTACAGAAAATGTAATACTCGTAGTTACTTAAGTAATAAGCGAAATCAGTGTAATTTATGAGGCACCAACAAAAAAAACTGTAACGGATGATTATACGATTGATCGACTTATTGATGTGCATCTCCCGGACATAGTCGATATCTATAAATTAACATTATCACATTCAAAACCTTCATTAATTGCCTAATAAGGTTTCATATCGGTTGTAGTTTTCAAAGGTTGCTTAGCAGTACAGAGGATGAATCGAGTTGGAATCGGATTTAAACTAATTGTCGATCGCAGTGCTAGATATTTTGCATTTGTGTTTTTATACATTAGCAATTTGAACGTTAAAGTTATTATGTATAATGGTCATTATGGGATACAAACTATACCAGTTAGATATTTTCATTTTTTATAAATTTGTGTTATTATTCTGATATAAAAGAAGCCGAGTTACTTCTTATAACAATACCTATCCTTTGTAAAAATCCCATGGAAATCGATACAGGTTATTCGAGAATTAGCTGACATAACTAGACGACTGAGAGTGTTTAACTTGCTTATTCAATGGCAATACAGAATAGTGTTCTATTCTCTATGTATTCTATATCACTTTATGGTTAGTTGTAGTTCGAATATAGATCTGTAATCCTATTAATATAGGGTTTTTAAAAGTTAAAAATGACAATAGCTTTTATTTAAACTATTTATTGAATAATCATACATATATATATATATATATATATTAAATCAGCGTCACAGTTTTTATCCATATCGCATCGAATCGTACTAATTATATCCAAATAAGGTGTCAGTTGATTTATCGAATATTTTAATCGAGTCACGCGAAGTTTATTAATCGCCTTTAATGTCGGACGAAGAGTTTCAATTACGTCTTCATGTTTAATAAAGATGAAAGGATTTGGAACTTTGCTGTTTGTATTATTTAGTATAGTCATGTTTGTCTGAAACAAGGTCCCATCGCCAAGGTTAACAATATTGGGATTCTAAGACAGTAAAATTGTTCTTAATTCCGTATAATTTATTTATAACCATGGAACAAAATACGAATACCAATACATTGGTAGGTAATAATTTAAAAACTGTTGTAATGCATTATTGAGCAATTTATGAAATAGTCTGTTTAAATCTGAAATATAAGCTATTAAATACTGCTTGTTCAGTAGCACGATCTTATTATTTAGTTTGTAGGTACTGTTTTATTAGTTTGCATAACGCGTGTTGTCCAGTAGTATTTTGTTTTTTAATCGACTAAAAAATAGAATTAGGTTTTAAATTCGCTTGTGTATTTTTTGGATAGGTTTTTTTTTTTTTATTTGGGCGAATATATTTAAGTGTGGAAAATTAAAGAATGAAAAATACAGTTTATTACAAATCATCATGATGTAGGTGCAGTGTTTTATTGTTCCAATATTAAGTCATAATGTATCGATTAAAAATGCTAATTCGAAACAATCGAATATCCTTGATACGATTATTGGGATTTACATTTCCGATTTTCATTACCTAACTGTATGTGATTAGAACATTGCAATTCTGTATCGGTAATTCATGCTATAGACGGGGTAAAAACTTTAATGTACTTGTAATAATTATTGACTTTGAGAAAAATGTTATTAATTCATGTTCATATTTTTTTGTAAGAATACTCTTATAATGCAATTATATTGTTTTATATACGACCACTGTAAATAATTGTGATGACTGTCATACAGAGCAGTTAAAATATTGATACATCTCAATAAAAGAGTCAGGTCCACTGCTACTAAACGGATACACTGCTGACACAGATCCTGTCTAATTCCGGGTAGGTATGTTGAAGCATATTTTATGGTAAACTGAGTAAAAGTAGGTATAATAATTAATTTATGATAGTTACCTTGCATCCTTCACAAGTAAATGCTCCAAAATGGAATCCGGCCGCCGGCTCACCGCATACTTTGCACTTTTGGTTCATCTGTAAAAAAAAACAAAATTAGTTTAATTATATCATTGAGAGATTATTTTTTGTAGACGTGTTTTTATATAAGAAGGTGACGTGTCATTTTTTTAAAATAAAAGATAGCAAATAAAAAGGTTATAAGTAATTAGGTAAACAAGAGGATGCTTAGGATTAAATCTCTTTTGATAATTATTTTAGGAGATCTAATTCGATTATGTAGAAATAAAAAGTAAAAAAATATCCACGCAAGCGCAAAACTAACCAATATTGTTGCTCTTATCGCTCGACATAAACGAATATGCAACTGAAAATCCGCCACAGAAACCCAATTCACTGTTAATATGCCGTGACCAAGAGCGGCCATTTTCCAATCAGTCATTTAGTTGTTAATTTCGAAGAGCATGGGGCATGTTATTGGTTGCGTATGCGATAAAATCGTATTGTATGTATCGATTAAACGATATTAATTGTTATGATATTATTTCTAACGCGTTCTGTGTTGCGGCTCTACGCGTTCTATATTTGAAAATGATTACGCTTTAGTTTTTTTTTTGGTAAAAGCAAAGAGTTTTCTGTCATTTTTAAAATGACGCTAAGTTTTACAATTTGTATTTTAAACGCTGAGCGTATTATAAAGAAGTTTCCATCAGAAAGTGTAAGAAAATACAGTTTGGTAATGAAATAAATTAAAACACAATATGTAGTCCCTATCAAATCGCTTTACTGGAAATAAAACATATAATTTATTTCATTAATAAAACACAAAAATACAGTGAGTGAGTGGCACCTTTTCTGTTCTCAGTGAATTATTATTAAGATGGACTGTCATATTCTTAATGGTTCTTTCAACAGTTTTTTACGTCCATAAGCTCGTAATATAATATAATGTTCCTTGTAAATCTACAAGGACGTCGGTTATTACCAGACTTATGTGATTAACACTTAACATACACAAGAATTTAAGTAAAACCAAAGTTATGGGATGTTACAACGACAATAACATTGTTGGCTCGTTGAGAAAATCTGGTTTTATTCTGGATTCCTTTTAAAACCTACCGCAATAAATTTAAGAATATACTTTATAATAATTCAATAAAATTTATTTTAACAAGGATTAGGTATAATCCATACCAATCCATACCAATATTAAAATTGTGAAAGTGTGTCTGTCTGTTACCCATTCACGCTTAAATCCGCTGATCCGATTTAGATGAAATTTGGTATAGAAATAGATTGATTTTTGAGAAAGGACATAGGCTAAGTATTTACCGCGACAACCCACATACACGCCGTGCCGGAGCCGTGAGAAAGAGCTGATTGAAGTTTATTTTAATTCGGTTAACCAGTTGTAATATATACTGCTGGAGTAATAATAGGCACTGAATCCTGACTGTTCTTCCTTTATGTAATAGAGGGGCAAACAAGAGACGGGCACCTGATGGTAAGTGACTACCACCGCCCATGGACACATACAGATCAAGAGGTATAAGTGTGCCGCTCCTCTTTGTGTGCTCTCTCCAGAATAACGAGACAGTGGGATTGGGTTCCGGTAACCATAACGCTGATGAACACCGGTTTTCTGTGGGCCGTGATATCACTCCGGTCGAGCCATCCCATTTATACCGAAGTATGGCTCTCCTACGATAAGAAGACAGCAATATGGCTAGTAGTGTCTTCTAACTTATAGTGGTTTAAGGTAAATTATTTATTTCTAGTATTTATTTTTTGTTTATTTAATCTCGGTGTGTCTTTGGTGTTGGTGTCACGATTAAGTTTAAAGGACTCACGAACTCTTCATCTATATACAGTAGATATATATAATATATATAAAAGAAGAAAACAAAGACCAATGTTTTCTTCTTTTAGAAAATAAGTAGATTATTTTCCGGTACTTTTTGAGGCGCTCATCGATAATGCTAATAGAATAGGACGATAGATTATATAATTTTTAACATTTTATTTTATTTTAAAATACAACTGCCGCACTAGGAATATATTAAATTGTGTCGAGGGGTACTTTACAACGTGCAACACTCAGCGCAGTGAGAAACGGCGGGGCGACCGCTTAAACCACTACGCCATCCGATCAATGTATATTATATATTATACGAGCTGACCCTGACCCTGTTTTGCTATTTACATTAAAAAAAAATTTTTTTTTTGAATTTCTTAAAATCCGTTCTTACCTCTACTCGGTGAAAAGAATATTCCTACCAAATTTTAAGTCTTTAACTCTACTGGTTCCAGAGATATTGTGATGAGTGACTATATACGTGGAAATCTCTTATATATATATATATATATAGATTAAGTACACATTATTTATTTCATCACTCACATGTTCATTTTAGAGCCAATTCGACATGTCATTTGACACGACGAAGAATCCTGATAGTGATCAAATATTATATCGCGATACAGAGTATGAAGAAAGCTTATTTCTACTCATTTTAATTAAGTTCAGTGTGATGAGATACCCTTGAAATTGAAACCAGCATTCGTAAACGTGTATGTAAAAGTTGATACATTAAAATTCCTATGATATCACTGTGATTAGTGTACTTTTTTATTATTTTACCAACTCTATGTAATCTTGCTTTTTTTTGCTTTTTTTTATGGTATAAAGGGGCAAACAAGCAGATGGGTCACCGGATTTTAAGCAACTACCACCGCCCATATACACCTGCAACTCAAGTCACAAGTGCGTTGCCGCCCTTGGAGTCCCTCCCGCTCGAGTCAGCGGGAGTAGGGATTTGAGCTCCGGTAACCTCACTCACTCAGTGAAAGGCAACGAAAGAATTGCTTAACACAGGTTTTCTGTGAGACCGTGGTATTACTCCGGTCGAGCCGAAGAAACGAAATAAAAAACATTTCATGATATTAGAAAAGCTTAGATGGGATATTACATACAATGATGGGATAATAAAAGGTACACAAAATAATAGAAACTACAAAATTTTCTAGTTAAATCATAGGGCGGCACATCGTTACTTGTAGATGTAGGACTCGTTGAGGCGTTCCCGGTTAGAAAATCACACTGTACTGTGGACGAGTGCCTATACTACACTAAGATGTAGCATATTCTGTGTAAGCCCTAATTTAAACTTAAACGCCGTGATTTGTACACAACATAGTCATAGCGTTTATAGAATTTGACGACCGAATAGCGTAGTGGTTTGTGTAACGGACTGCTATTCTAAAGGTCGCGGGTTCAATTCCCGCTCATGTCAAACATTTGAGTGCATGAACTTTTAATATTTGATTTGGTCTGGGTGTTTCTATGTATTTACAAAAAAAAAGTAACTATGTGTTTATATCAGTTGTCTAGTACCCATAGTACAAGCTCTGCTTAGTTTGGGACTAGATGGAGTTGTGTGAATGTAAAAAAAAAAATGATGATTGCTTTATCACTTCTAAGACCCGCCCATTCTAAGTGAAGTAATTGAAGTTAGATAGGTTCATAGGAATAACGATGTGACAAAGGTAATTAACAATCTAAGAAGGAATAGAGAAATGAGAATTAATTAGTGAGAAGTAATTAGACACCACGAATTAATACTTTTCAACAGCAGCAATAAATATGCCGCTACTGGATATGAGTTTCTTCTAAGAATCAAACAGACATTCATGGACACATCTATAAGTTTATGACCGCCGTAACATATTAAAGAGACAAAATAGTAATAACATCCATTATTTTCCGATATATTGTAATGTGGAAGTACATTTAACAAAATGAAAATTGATTTTCTTGAAAATAATAGCTTTTGAAATGTTAAGGCTTTGAAGCGGATTTAAGGTTTGCGTTTAATGAAGTATTACACTAAAATGAAAGCATCATAAAGACACACTATGCTGCTCCCTGTTTAATTGAAATGCTGCCTATTTAAAGAGATTGCGGATGAGAATGCCACTTAGTACTCGTACACCATAAAGTAAAACTGACCAGTGGGAAACCGGTTTGAAAATACTATCTAGCTGAGTTATACATATATAGGTAAATGTAGCCATGCAAATATCCCCAGAAACGCACGCTGAGGGGGGTGTTACACGCCCCGCACGGGGGGGGGGGGTCGTCTACTCGTCTGTAGACGACCCGAGGTATGTCGGGGCACCAGGGACTTCCTTTCTAGGGTATACCTGGTTCCCCGGCTATTAGTACCCGAGACGGCGTGCGGTTTTAGTCGGTTCGAGTCCGACATGCCATCGACAGGTGGTATCCGAGGGGACTTCCGCACGGGAAAAAAAAAAAAACCTGTGGGTGTCGTAGGAGTCAACGAAAGGAAAAAAAACTACAGAGAACAACCACTGCAGAGAGAAGGATAACTTGACACAAATCCTATACCAACCCGTCTGGCCAGCGTAGTATAGTAGGCCATAACCTCCTTTCTAAGGAGAGGCTTATGTCCAGCAGGGGACTATTAAAGGCTTTTGATGTGATGATAATATTTGGTGTTACTACGTATTAAAGGTGTAACTCTTTTGCCGTCAATCGAGCACTTGAGGGATGATTTGAATTTTCAAGATGGTACTTTTAAGTCAGAAAGCGAAGCCAATAGGAATACATTTGAGTAGTAAACGAAATGTTCGTTTATATTATATCTTTCATTAATTTAACGCTTTATATTCTTCAATAAAGTCTAATACTTAGAACAGCGGTAAACATTATAGACTTAGGTCGCGGGAATAAACTTTAGAAAATTCTCAAGATTGGATCGTACGATACGAACAAAGACGATACTACATGCGTGTAGCCAGCTAATCTAAGGAGATCAGCAGCTTTTCGAGCATGCCTGACAATGTTTAGAAAGGGATAAGCTAAAATGCTTTCTGCTTTCGATTTAGTAGTGTTTACCTGCATTAGCATTTTCTTAGAAGTTCAAAAAGAATAGTACAAGCGTACACTTGAAAAATCTAATCTGAATACTTCAAGGTAAATATTTACCATTTTAATATTAATTTTTAATATCAATGTGAATATTAGTTTATTTGTTTGTCACACCTTACCTGCCTAAAAACCAAATCAGCTAATATAACTATATTCGTTCCCTATAACATTAAACAACGAAATGATTATTATAAAAATCTTTTAAACAAACACTTCAAATAACAAAAAGAAAATTACACTAACCTTTTATTTCTTACTATTAAATTTATAATTACTATTAAACAAATAATGATACCATAGTGAAAAGAAACTTTATACGTGTCTGTGGTCATCGACCATAGATCACGCAGCGTGATCCCTCGTCTATCGCTCCAATCGCACACCTTGCTCTAAATTAGACTATACAAGCGTAGCCTTTGAAAACCATTACGGTAAAATAATTATGTAACATTGTATTAACTATCCACTTAGATTTG